GACGGGGCGGCCCGAGGCTCCGCCCACCGGCTCCGTAGTTTGCGGCCGGCGGACACCTTACACCGGAGCCCGCAACTTCCCACAAGGTCACCGCTGCCGCCCTCTGCGCTCTGCCGCCCCGAGGCCTGGCCTCGGTGGCCTTGTGGGAAATCCGGGCCTGACCGCAGGACAGCTTGTTTCAGTTGATTTTTTGTCATAATGTTGCCATTTTTCTTTTCTACCAAGCTGAGCCTAGTCACAAAGGTGCAACTAAGACATTTTTTGTGTCTATATGGACTAAATGTATACTGTTATGCTGGTTGCACATAGTTATTTAGCCAGATAGGATGCAGTATTTCCCTTGTTTTTATTACAGGATCACAGCAGATGTTTATGGGGTCAAAGCTAACAGCCTCTCACAGCAGCAATTGATTTAAAATCCTAGGACTTCTCAAATGATGCACTCATTTTTTTCACCACTAGGTGGTAGTAGAGGGATGGACCCTAAGATATTGACTACTTAGACACTATTGGTCAATTGAAATGCACTGACTATACTCAAGGGGATGGTGCTTCAAGACTTTGATACTAGAGAATGTGAATATTGCCTTGTCTCTTACTACATGGTACTATTTGTATACACTGACTTAATTGATGCTATTGCTATTAGATAGTCACTTTTTGTTTCTGGCCTATAAGGATAAGGCCAATTTTAAGGAGGGGAAGAGTGTAGCGCCCTCTACTATGTTGCTATTAAATTTAGTGTTATATCCAGACTGTAGTCTGGCTGGATGTTGATAATTCTGAGATCTGCAGGTTTCCCTAAAGGTGGCCATACACCTTACAACCATTGTTCAACTTTTTTTGTCCAGGCATCTCAACCCCTTTCAATTTCCATTCAATTAGCCCATCATGCACAGACCAATTGAATTTGCAATTAATGTTCGCCAGCACCACTAACTGGCCCAATTTTCATCGATGGAAAGAACAGATTTTCGTTTGAGCATGTGCAGTTTTCATCTTGAGCTTTTTGTTGTACAACAACGCCACTAACCCGTCGATTGTCGTCCAACTAGACCAGGGGTAGGCAACCTTTAACACTCAAAGAGCCACTTGGACCCGTTTCCCACAGAAAAATAAACCCCGGGAGCCACAAAACCCTTTTGACATCTAAAATGAAAATACCACTGCATATATCGTTTTTTACCTTTATGCTATGTATAAAAGAACTATAGTGTGTTGCATTTATGAAATCAATGAACTGCTACAGAGAAAACACCTGCAGCAAACCAAAAATGCTGTCTGCTTCTGTGTGCCGTCATCCTTTTATCGCATATGTACTGGAGTGGTGGAGCTTACACTCTAATGTCCCTCCATAGTCACACACTATTATTATACATTTATATAGCTGACATATACCGCAGTGCTGTACAGAGAACACTGAGCCAGTCACAGTCTCTGTACAGAGGAGCTTACACTCTAATGTTCCCCCACAGTCACATCAGTCTCTGTACAGAGAAGCTTACACTCTAAAGTTCCCCCACAGTCAAAGTCACAGTAAAGATGCTAGCATCAAAAAAGTCAAATTGGATTGTTTTGGGCCACAGACTGGGGGCTGTTCCTCGATTATGTTCCATATGTAAATGTCAAATTCAAGAGCGATGACTAAATTATGGGATTTTTTTTTTATGTGAACACTATGTGAATGTAATTTACTACCCCGTTGTTTTGTGGCCCGCTGCTGGTCTCTTCAATAAAAACATACCTTGAACAGTTTAAAATAAAGATAATTTATCGTTTACATAAAAAAAAAGTCGAATTGAAAAAAAACAAATGATGGTAGAAGATAGGGACACCACAGTGCCTTCCAGGGACTCCCTTAGGGCTTACACTTACATTTTCGGCCTTGTAGGGGACACCCCAGGTTTTTCTCTCTCCCAGCTGGGAGCAATGGCGGTTCCACAGAGACGGCGTGAGGGGGCGTGGCCACAATCCCTGCATAGACCGGCCCGCTAAGCAAACAGGAGGGGGTGGAGCTACACCTTTGTCTGTGGTGTGCTGAGACGAGGCCTCGACAAATGCGGAGATACCGCCCTGTTCCCCGATCACTGCATCTGTCAGATCAGTGGGCGGAAGGAGCAGAGCCGCAGCAGAAGGACGAAAGAGCCGCATGCGGCTCCGGAGCCGCGGGTTGCCGACCCCTGAACTAGACGAACATTTTCTAACCTGCTTGAAAGACTAAAATGTGCCACTTGTACAGTAATTGAGGTTGTGCACTTAGAATCAACTGGCAGATTTTCGGACGACAACGCGATTGCAGACAAAAATCTCCAGATAATTGTAAGGTGTATGGGCACCTTAAGTCTGGTGGATTGATTGATTCTACCTGTTGTTGGGTTGGGGCCTCAGCATACAGCGTGGGAGCATCAATCCTTAGATTATGAATATGCATCTGACTCTGACTGATCCCTGACCAGGCTCACTCAGTGGTATGGCTGGAGCAAGGTGATAAATATTTGGGAACACCTTCCCGAACTCTCTCCCGGGGCTGTGTGCTGCAAGATGCCTGTCATATGCCTCAGCACGTGGCAGGTGCTGGGGGCCCAGAGGCCCGAGATGTTACGGAGAAGAAACCTGATGGAAGCTGGGCTGGAGGAAGAATCTGCTTGCTGAGGAGTGTCGCAGAGGAGCTGGTGAGAGCTGCCGTCTGGACCCTGTCAGAGATCCCTCACTCTATATTTAGATATTATACAGAAGAGAAGCCAGGTGGTGCACTGTAAGTCCTGTGACTGTTTTCTTTCAGAGTTTTTGACTGTTCATGGCTGTTCTCTGGTGCTATCACCTATCACTGGTTGCTCTCATAGGACCTGTTACTACTGTTGTTAATGGTGAAGACACTGTCCTCTATATTTGTCTCTTGGGTATCCTGCAACCCTAACCCTCTCTCTTAAATAAATACTAAAAACACCCTACGACTCGAGCCTGTTCTATCCTAAAATGTCAGTGTTGCTGGAGCTAAGAAAAAGGGCTGGAGGCTAACAAACAGGTAGGAAACCAAATTCATATCCATCGGCTCCTTAGGGGGTGAGCGCTACACATATATTTGTGATAATGCAAAGTACACATGAGCAAATGATATACCAAGATTTAGCTAGTCGCATTAAATTGCACTTGTTCCGTAATGTAGTAATGTTTATGCTACTAACTTCTACTAGGTATATAATGTAACCTGGATAAATTGGAACCTTCACAGGCAAGGGTGAAGGATATTTGTCTGTTTCATGTTCAAGTAAAAAAAACAGTTGTTGGTGTGACCTTTTACACCTAGGTGGGGGATTAGTGCCTAGCTAGGCCAGGGTTGCTTAAGGACATAAGGGAGGGCTGCAGTGCTGTGCAATATGACCCTGATGCATTCAGGAATTCATGTGCTGGTGCATATTTTCCATGTTAGTGTGCACTCAGCCTTGCAGTTGTAGTTTTAAGACTTTCAAAGAGTTAGGGAAATTGGGATTGATTTTGATTAAATGGGGTGAACAATATTTTCAGTGTTGGGTTTAAAGAGAGTGTCTGGTAATGAAATAACTTGTTACCCTCACATATACTGTATTCAGTAATGATACATGTCACTGCATTCAAGAGAAAATGACAGCCTAATGACAGGACGTGGAGATACAGATCTAATACAGATCTGAGGAGACCAGCATCACACAGGACAGGAAGCAAGTTGGTTTGAAGCCTTATGGGCATTCCTCATTGCTCTCTGCTGGCTGAGACGAGATAAACCGACACAGTACTTTTGTGTCTAATCAATATGATGAAATTGCAAATATAACTAATCTTCTGTCATGAAAGACATAAAGCAGGTGCACAGTAATGATAATTGGAAATGCAACTTTATTTTGATTCTCTTTTGTGTTTTTGAAAAGATCCATCACCAATGTGTGCTAATGTCAATGTCATTCTAAACACCATTCATCATCAGGGAAGCACCACTGTTGAGTTAAATTTATGTACAGCTTAAACGTGTTAAATAGCTTCCAGAAGGGTTAAAACCCCTATAAGGGCTAATTTTTGCTGTCTGTGTCTTGCTAGAGAGTCTTCCCTTGAGGGGACTTCCCATATTAGACAGTTATCACCAGAGCATTTGTCCCCATTGGAGGGTTCTCCCTCACATCTGACTTCTTCCTCTCATGACAACTCTAAAATTATTGATTTCCATCTACCTTCTATATCCAAAACGAAAAAAAAAAGGTAATTTGAGTTTAGACTTTTTCTTAGTTCTAAATATAAATATAGAGAGGGAGTTTGATCTTTTCTCATGTTTTATTGCTGTCTCTGCCTTTTTAGGGAGATTTTGCCTCACTTCCTGTCTACTTGAAGGGAGTTACAGGGACAGGAGGTAAGAAGATAACTTTCAAACAGGAACTTGGACAGTGTATAAACCAATTTTCTAGCAGATAAGGGAAGGTTTAGAACCCCTTTTACATTTGTATTGCAGTCTGTGTCTTCATTTTTTGGCTTTAACTGGCTTTCCTTTTGAAGTGAGGAATAGCTAGAAAAATGTAAAAAAAGGCAGACTGGAAATATACTTTTACTCATTAGTGCCCATTTTATTACTATTTAGCCAGATCCCAACACCTCGCAGTCTTTAAAAAAAATATTTTTACCCTTACCATAACACATTCAACATGACATTACAACATTATACACTACGAAGGCAAAAGGGAGCAGGAAGCTAAGGAGAGATCAGGTTACGTGTTCACTTTGACTATTGAGCACCTCAGCAATGTGAAGTATATGTTGCATAGAAAAGCCAGTTAAAAATATCTGTTTCTACTATTGTCCTATGTAATCTCTGTTCACTCCTAGTATTATTCTGAAACTGGGAAACACTCAGCCTGTCACAACCCATTTAAGCAAAACAACATGATCTCAAGCTGTTTTTTTTCATTTGTGCGACAGGTACGAGTAAATTTATTGTGTGCTACGTGTGTGTGCTTATGACATCATCGTGACCATGTGGTGCTGTTTAGGTCAGCATTCATATAAGACAAACATATGTTTATGACCAGGAATTATGGCCCCCTGCACCACCACAAGGCCTCAAACAAATAACCTGTGAATCTAGAGGTTTGACATGCAGGTATATTGTCCATGTTTACTTTAAGTAAGAGACTGATCTGACAGTCAACATAATTGCTGAAGTTGCTGGAGAGAGAAATCGGTTGGAGAAAAGTCAACTGATATTCAGTGTGAAGACTACTCTGCCCAGAAAGCGGTCAGTATTGTGATCATTTATAATGTCCTGTCCATTTATTTTGCATTCTATGGTGATGAGAGTATTCTTTGCCACGTCTGTGAAATGGATGGCGACTAGAGGTGATGTATAGTTTACCTGTAGAAAGAAAACAAAATTAACAATAGTTCCCACAACACCTTAGAGGACTTAGGCATACAAAACACAAAGCGAACAGTTAGGGGTCTATTCAGTAAGCTGCTGTAGGCAGCCGAGTGACTAACCGACCCCAAGCGAAGTAAGCCGAACACTGTTCGGCTATTCACTTCAGGCTGGTACGGCTGATTCCAGCCTTATACGGGCTGAAATCAGCCATACATCAGGTGGCTTTGTGTGGCTTCGGTTCGGCAGCATGTTCAGCCGACTCGAAGTGCAGAAGGAGTTCGACTCAGCCGATCCAACATCTGGATCGGCTAAGCCGAACCTCCGGCAGGCTACTCGCTGCTGTTCGGTCGATAGATGCCAAACAGCAGTTAGTAAATAGCCGAATGCCGCTCGGCTGTTCTGCTCGGTCCCTCTGTGGAAACGAGCAGAATAGAAAAATAGTTAAAAAAGTAGAAAAAAAAAATTAGAAAACGATTGTGCGGAGCTAACAGTGACAGCTAGCTCAACCCAACTGTTTTCTATTGGCCGGGTGGTTCTGTTGCCAACACGGAGAGGCCGCTCTCAGTGTGTAATTACAGCGTCCCTGGTTACCTGGTAACCAGGGTCGCTGATCTCTCTGAAAGTGGCCGAAGCCAGCCGTGGGATGACTGCTGGCTCCGCCCAGGTGTCAGAAGCAGGCTGTCGGCCGGCCAATGGCCGGCCATTCAGCCAGCTTCGGCTTTCACCGTGGCTCAGTCGAGCCGAGGCATATGCCTTTGGCTCGACTGAGCTGCTCGGCCAACTTCGGGAGCTGTACGGGCTATAGTGAATAGCCCGTACAGTAGCCCTTCAGTTTTCCTGAAACGAAGGGGTCCTGGGGCCGAAGCTAGCCGAAGCTACGGCTAGATCCTTTGGCAGCTTAGTGAATAGACCCCTAAGTGTATTCTCTAGCAGACCTGGATTAATACTCTGTCCACGGTTGCCAGAGGATTTGCCAGAATGCCTAACCATACAGTTTGAGCTATTATTTTGGGATGCAAAATACCAAAATATTGAGAATAGCAGGTTCTTTTTCTAAGGTGCAAATAAATCCTTTCTGTAAATTTGAGTGAAAGGACCAGATACAGTGGCAAGTCTACCAGGAAATGCATGTCAGCCTATTATAAAACTTCTTCATTATTAGCATTCCATTTGTGCTGTCACTGCAAAGAACACCAGATACTGCAAAAAAGGGTCTGTGTCCGGGACTTTTTCTAACCTTGGGGGACCCATACACATTGGATTGAAGGGCGCATTTAGGGTGGCAAAAGCATGCATTGGTAGTACAGTTGGATGTTCAACGTGGGAGGGTTCATCCTTTTTATCTGACCTTAAATCTTTACAACCTGGCTTTGAGAAGCTTTTTTTAAGCTTTATGCTTGCTTAAAGGAGAACTATGAGGTGAGTGCTTTTCACTCACCTCATAGTTCTAGCCGACCTGTGACAATGAGACTGTCACAGGTCGGCTCAGTAGATCGGGAAGTGAGCGAACTCATACCGGTGTTTGCTCACTTCTCGATCTTGTCACGGCTCTCTGCCGTGACAGGGGAGGGGCTGGATTCCCCCCTCCCCGCTCCGATCCACCAGCGCTGACTGGCCGAACAGACGGGGGAGGGGGTGGGTACAGCTGGCTCTGCCTCTAGATAGGCAGAGCCAGCTGTTACTCACACAGCTGGGCGGATCTCGACAGCGATGTCGGGATCCGCTCCGGCTGCGGCGTCTCAGTATACCGTGAGCTGTAGCTGGCGGTATACTGAGCTTAGGATGACAGGAGGACGCTAGTTTGTGTCCTCCCGTTACCCTAAGGAGAACTATGGGGAAAAACCCTGACCCCATAGTTCTCCTTTAAAGCAGCTAAAAGCTGCCATCAGCATTATCAGCCAATAATCATCCAGAATGTCCTCTGACAAGGCTTTGCTAAAAGCTGCTAAGAATCAAGAGGATAGAAAAAGCAGGTTCAAAGACAGTTTATAACAAACACACAATTCAGTACAGATTTTAGTACTCTGAAAGGCCAAACAAGAAAAGAGCGTATGCAAATGTAAAAATCTAAATAAACTTACATGGGTAAGCTTGCCATAGTATGGAAAATACATGAGATCAAAGTAATTTACTGGATAGAAGCTGACTTCTCCCATTAGACTGTGATTACCTTTCTAGAATAGAAAATATAGATTATTAAACTGCAAGGAAAGCAATATAATGCTAATAAAGAAATGATATGATCTTCAAGAAGGAATGCCACTGAGTGACATTTTAGAAGGCAAGGATAAAGTATACATATTTGTTGGTACCTTTACATAATTGAAACAATTATTTGTTCCTCTTGAAAAGTGATTAAATAAAAGCAATTATCTCATGTATAGCTGCATGCCTTTAGTATGTCATAGAGTTGAGCAAAGTGTAAAAAGATATAAATGATTTCTTATTTTGCAAAGATATTCTAAAATAGCCTGGGAAGATTTGTTGATACCCCTAGGGAAGATTAGAAATAATTGGATCATAGTGATATTTCAGTTTTCTGTAATTAGTATCACACATCAATCTTATAATCAGTCAGTCAACCTTATTAAATTGAGAAAAGAAGTCACTCTACTGTTTGATATCATTGTGTGCACCACACTGTTCACGAACCAGAAAAAGCAAAGGAGAGAGTTGCCTGAGAAGATCAGAAAGACAATTATAGACCATCATTCAAAGGCAGTGGTGACTCTATGAACAATATATAGGGGGGGCACATAAGATACCACAGTCAGATCTGGGGGTCTGGGGGGGCACTAATAATTTTCATTGCATGTCGCAACTGCTGGGCGCCGAGAGCTGATTTTTTTTTTTTTAAATTCTTTATTTTTAAAACAACATTTTACAGCATACACAGACCACAAGTACAAATCGGTAAATGAGGACACATAGGGATAAACATAAGAGGCATATCTAAGTCCAATGATATTATTCACTTAATGAGCAGAAAAAAAATCCCAGACATTCACGTTATAATATAGTATGCAACATCAGGGTATTAGGGGTGAGTGTAGTGTAGATCCTATAGATCCCAGGGTATGATAAGCAACCGTTTCGATAGGCAGAGGTGGGTGAACCATGGGGTCCACCTTTCTGTTTCCAAGGTCTGGGGGAGGGGGTAAGACATCTAACAACACTAAAACAGAGGGATAAGGAAGGGAAGCAAAAAAAAAGGGGGGGGGGTGAGGGGGTGGAGGAAAATAGGTAATATAGGAAAGCAAGTAAGTAAGAGGAAGTAGAGGTCATTGGAACATGAGGGACATTTCCGATTGGGGTGGGCTCCACTGGCGATCCCATCAGCTGTCCACTGGATAAAGGTCAAATAGGGAAGGCTCTGCCTTCAGAGGAATCCATGTATTCTAACCAGTAAAACCAAGTCTTACGATATCGCTCCTGTCTGCCCTGAGATGACAGAATCATGTCTTCCATTTCCCTAATCTCCTCCACTCTGCGTACCCACATGGATATTGTGGGGGGAGAGGGGTTCTTCCAAAGACTAGGGATGCAGGATTTAGCTGCATCCAGCAAGTGACGCACCACAGATCTGGAATAAGCTTTCCTAGACATAGGAGAGTTATGTAGTAGGAAGATGGTGGCGTCCATCGGTATATCCGTTTCCGTAAATTTCCGTACAATGTCACGAACCGTGGACCAAAATTGTGCTAATTTTGGGCAAGGCCAGAAAATATGAAGTAGAGTACCCTCGTCCGCGTTACATCTCCAGCAGACGTTGGCAACTCCACCATATATTCTGTGTAAGAGCGACGGTGTTCGGTACCATCTCGTAAGGATCTTATAGTTCGTCTCCTGATATTTAGTGCAAGTCGATGAGTGTAAGGCAAAGTGAATAATGTTTCGATTTTGGGCATCTGAGAGAGTAATCCCAGGCCCCTGCTCCTACCGTTTAAGGAACGCCGGTGTTCCAGGCTCTGGTGATGTAGCGAGGGAAGCATAGATCACGGAGAGAGTATGCCTTGTCGGACCCTTGGAATCACAGAGTCGTTCAAAAGACGTATGTGTGGTTCCAAAGCTCGCTGCTGGTGGTAATGTATGTAAGAAGTGTCTCAATTGGTAGGCTTTCCATGGATCCAAACCAAAATCTCCATCAGGAGCGGTAAGGGATGCCACGGAGGGCCACGCGCCGCCCCGTATAAAATGGGAGGCCTGAAAGAGTTTCTTAGCAATCAGGGAACGGAAAGGGCCTGACAAGGCTCCTGGCAGAAAGGCAGGATTACCCATAATTGGGTAAAGAGGGGAAGCCTCACCAATTAATCGCCATCTGGAAAAAGCTCTCGAACATACTGAAAGAGTAGTACCAATCAGGGGGTGAGCTTTAAGCAAGGGGGGGATATTCGAGGGGCACCATGCCGCCCTAGCCAGGAGACAGGGTGATATGGATTCTTCAAGAGGCACCCATTGTTTTGTAGGTGAATGTCTGCACCAGTCAACCAACCGGACCAGGTGGCTAGCTGCATAGTATTTCCGCAGGTCGGGGAGAGCTATGCCCCCTGAGTCTTTAGGTAATGTCAGGAGGGCATGGCTCAGGCGAGGATGGCGATTAGCCCAGATAAATTTAATCAACAATGAATTGGCTTGGCGAAAGTACCTGTCAGGGACCGAGATTGGTAGTGCTTGAAATAGGTACAAGAATTTAGGCAAAATCGTCATTTTGATCGCGTTGCACCGTCCAAACCAGGATAAAAAACCCTTCTGCCAATTGGAAAGGAGTGCGCGTATCTGTGCCAAGAGAGGTGGGAAGTTGAAGGTAAAGGTATCCTTCATGTCCGGAGGAATAAACGTGCCCAGGTATTTCAATGCTCGAGCCGTCCACTGAAAATTAAAATTATGTTGCAGGGAGTGAATGAGTGGAGCTGGGAGTGAAATTCCCATGGCAGTTTATTTGCTAAAGTTTATCTTGAGATTCGATAGCTCGCCATATGTCGAGAATTCCTGCATGAGATTAGGTAGCGAGATTACCAGGTTGGTGAGAGAGAACATTAGGTCATCCGCGTAGGCAGATACTTTGTATTCCGTCGATCCCACTTTAATCCCAGTCACGTCCGTATTAGACCTAACGTGCCAGAGGAATGGCTCCTGGGACAAGGCGAACAAGAGTGGTGAGAGGGGGCAGCCTTGTCTGGTTCCATTGGAAATTGGGAAAGGATCGGAGAGGACGCCGTTCACCTTAGCACATGCCGTTGGGCCAGAGTACACTGCCGAAACCCAAGATAACATGTGTTCGCCCAGACCGATATGCTTCAGGGTAGCGAATAGGAATTCCCAAGAAACCCGATCGAAAGCCTTTTCAGCATCCGTGGAGAGAAAGAGGCATGGTATCTTTGATGTCGCTGCGTGATGGACAAGGTGAAGGGTCTTGATAGTGTTATCACGAGCTTCCCTAGCTGGGATAAATCCAACTTGGTCATAATGTATCAGATCAGGCATATGAGGGCTCAGTCTAGTCGCCAGTATTTTGGTAAATAGCTTCAAGTCTGTGTTTAGGAGTGATATGGGACGATAGCTGCTACAAGAGGAAGGGTCTTTACCTTCCTTTGGAATAACTGAAATATGGGCTGACAAAGAGTCTCTAGTGAGTTTAGAAGAGGATGACAAGGCATTGAATGCCTTAGTGAAACGCCCCGTCAGTTCTGCAGTCAAAAGCTTATAATACTGAGTTGTGAAGCCATCAGGGCCAGGTGATTTTCCGGTCTTAGTAGATTTAAGTGCTGCAGTAAACTCTTCCGACGTTATGGGAGCCTCCAGTGCACCTATAACATTTGCATCCAGAGAGGGCATAGCGCTCGAAGTCAAGTAAGAGGAGATCTTATCCTGTAAAGGGCCCTGAGGTATAGAGTCAGGTGTAGGACTCATGTTGTATAATTTGGAGTAGTAGTCTCGGAAGGCATTAGCTATAGCCTTCGGGAGTGATACTTTAGTTTGTTGAGGTGTAACAACATGTGGCACGTAAGAGTGCAGCCGTTCTCTCAGTGCTCTAGCCAGCAGTTACCCGCATTTATCTCCAGATTCGTAATATATCCGTCTACAACGTGTAAGTGCCACTTTTACCCTATAAGATGTCAGAGAGTTTATCTGCCGGCGTACGGAAGTCATGTCGGATAGTACGGTAGGAGAGAGGGTTGATTTATGCTGAAGCTCCAGGCCATGAAGAGTATGCAGGAGATCAAGAAGTTTAGCGTCTCTCTGACGTTTAACCCTGGAGCCATGTTTGATCAAAACACCCCTGATGTAAACTTTATGGGCTTCCCAGAGAAGAACGGGGTCACAATCCTCTATGTCGTTAAGGTTAAAGTATGAGCGCAGTTCCCTAGTGACATCTGACATTATAAGCGGGTCCTGCAGGAGGCTGTCATTAAGGCGCCACTGCCACGATTTGTGTGAAGGGAGGTCAGAGAGGGCCAGTCGCAAGAAAACCGGGGCGTGATCCGACCAAGTGATAGTACCAATGTCTGTGGCAGTGATCAGTGCTAAGTGCTGGTGGGACACAAAGAACATGTCAATCCGAGAGTACGAATCATGTGGCATAGAGTAGACTGTGTAGTCTTTCACGTTTGGGTGTTGTTGACGCCAGGCGTCGACAAGCTGAGCTCGATGAAAAGATCGGAGAATGCGTCTACTAGCTGTCGGGGAGAGGGGGGAGGAACCAGAAGTCGAGTCTAGGGAGGGATCCATGGCGATATTAAAATCACCTCTGAGAATCAAAACCCCTTCAGCATAGTTCAGCAACCTATCTTGAATGTTTTCTAGTAAAATCCCCTGGTTGGAGTTTGGGGCATAAATTGCCGCAAAGGTGACCACAGTGAGTCCGATCCGGCCTTTCAGGAGCAGGTAGCGGCAGTCGGCATCGGTCTGAGAATCTATGAACGTCCAGGGAACCTGTCTACATAGTACAATGGAGACCCCTCTCGATTTGGATGACACATTGCAAGAGTGGTAAGAGACTGGGAAGCGGGAATCTCTAAGCGGTGGAGCCGCATCAGCTCTAAAATGGGTTTCCTGGATGAAGGCTACATGAGAACCCCATCTCCTGAGATCGTGCAGTAATAGTCTCCGCTTCTCAGGGGTATTGAGACCCTTGGCGTTAATAGTGACCAGCCGTAGATCCTTCATGTCCCAA